CTCGACGGGCTCCTTGAGGTCTCGCAGTGCCATGACCTCGGGGTCACGTACTGGAGCACATAAAGAGGCCATGGTGTTGATGACAAATCCAGCCAGCCTGTGGAGATCCAGAGCTCCATGTTGAACCTGCTGCTGGATCAAATCCATGTCCAGCACTTCGTCCAGCTGGGACCTCAACCGGACATGACCGGGCAAAAGCAGCGACTGAAGCATCTGAGAGGAAACAGAAGCTGTGTTGATCTCCTGTTACAGACCTTATTCTTTTATTTTTTTTTTTTACATCCATTATAAATCCTCTCCAGGTCTCTGAACAGTATTGAACTAAAAGTGAGAAGAAATGTGCTGTCACTCCCTGCCTCATGAAAGGCTTTTACACAGATCACTTAATTAGGTTGGGCAAACAGATTTTTATCATTTTAATGCTAACGTTATCTGATTTAATCGGGTTCTACAGGTTTGCAGGCTGCTTTTTTTTTCAGGCTGCATTCCTGGAAACCTAAAATAAATTTTTGTTTAGACTGGGCTTCTTTTTTCCACTTTCATTAGAGGGAATTTTTTTTATCTTTTTTCCTTTCATTTGACTGTATGATCTGGTTGACTTGTCTCTGTAAAGTGCCTTGAGATGACATGTGTTGTGAACTGGCGCTATTTAAATGAAAGGGATAATTGACTTTTTTGTGGAAAGAAAACCTACAGTTTTGACCTCCTGCAGGAGGATAACTGCTTGGCTGTAGTTTGGAGGATCGCTGCTCAGTTGTTCCTGAAGGCTGTCCCAAAATGCCCGGTGAACGACGTCTGTCACTCTGCCCTCCAAGCTAAAACAGAAGCAGTCGTTTAATTTAAGTAAACAGTTTGATTTATGAAGCTGTAACCGGTTACATGTCTGTCTTGCCTGTCAGTGGGAGGGCTCCTTGGTTTGATGCAGAAGTCTCCATTCACCACAATCTCATGAGCGAGGCTCAGGTTGGAAACACAGTTTTCCAGCTCCATCAGACAAGATAATGAGGATGTGGGTGGACTCCCTGAACCCACATGCACATCACACACACATATATATAATTAAACTTCTATGGTGGTAATAATTCAATTATTAATAGGGTTGGAACGCATCAGAAGACAGGAGCTGTTCTAAAAAAGCTTCACATACCTGCAGGAGAGTCGAGTTTTTCCAGACTGGGAAGGTCAGCTGGGGAATCATCAGAGGGCACCTCTCTCCGACTGGACATGTCTGCAGTAGCCAACACTTCTTTTCCTCGTTAACTATATATAACACACAAGGTGTTTGTCTTTTATATATGTATATATATATATTAGGATTGTCACGATACTAAACTCCTCAACTCGATACCGATACTAAGGAAAATATTCAATACCATTTTCGATACCACAAGGATAAAAACAAAGACTCCAAAATTCTACAGAAATATTTTCATTAATAAATTAAATACAATAAATAAATACAATAAACAATAAGAACAATATTTTGAGGTTGTATGCTGTGCACAATATTAAGCGAGCTTGATAAAAAAAACTTAAAAAATTAAAACTAAGTGTTCCTTCCTTGGCTATGCTTTACACAGATAACAATGATGCTAGCCAAACCGGTTAAGAAACAAAAATTATTCTCAGCAGCTGCAATTGGGCTCTTACAAAAAAAAAGTCTGAAAAGTGCACAGAATTATTCAATCACACAGTGTTCAGAAAGTGCATTTTCCTCTATTCTGCATATATATATATATATATATATATGTGTATATATATATATATATATATATATATATATATATATATATATATATATATATATATATATATATATATATACACACATATACATACATATATATGTATATATACATATATATGTATATATATATAAAAACTGTTTTCTCACCCCTCGTGGGGTGGTATGTGTCATCCTCAAGCTCGGGTCCTCTACCAGAGGCCTGGGAGTTTGAGGGTTCTGCGCAGTATCTTATATATCTCATATATATATATATATATATATATATATATATATATATATATATATATATATATATATCTCATATATATATATATCTCATATATATATATATCTCATATATATATATATATATCTCATATATATATATATATATATATATATATATATATATATATATATACACACACACACACACACACCATCTTTAAAGTTCATTTTTTAAAGCTCAATTCTGTTTTTTTATTAAAAAAATGGAATTGTAAAAATTATCTTAAAAGATGGCAAAGCTCAATTTATATAATATTGTAATGTTATACCTTTATTTGCATAAACATGTAGATTTTAACCATTTACCAACTAACATGTATCTCAATTTAAAGATTAATAGTTTTTTTTTGTATTATCTAGAATGGCCCTCGTCTATTTCTATCTTAAAATTTCCAAAATGTAATAAAGTTACAGAGAATTTACAAACAAAATAAAAGAACACTCCAATATCTCAGCACGGAATTAATTATTAAACGTTTCAGTAATTAACTCACCAGGTGTTGACTTTTAAATGACTTGATAAGTGAAACGTCAGTGAATCTCTCAGGCGTTTAAACGACGATTCCATCACCGTCAAGTTCAAACCTGGACCGTACCATTCCTATTTAAATGGGCGGGGGTGTAAAAAAATGTATATTTGTTGGCGGTTTGACCTGATTTTAACATACATTCGCTGTTCGGTTAAAATATATATAAAAAAGGTTTACTTCGTGCAAATATGTTTATTTGAAAAAGAAATGCCTCAGATACTCGTATTTCATTTTAGTTTGGTCCAATATCAAATCAAAACAAAGGGTGTGTCTGTCGCGGAACTTCCTGTTGATTCTATTGTAGACACCCTTTTCTGTTGTTTTTCTTTAAAAACAGTGGAAACAAAAAGGAAAGCTGTCGATAATTTTTACAACGCTCCTTTTGTATAACGCAGTTACTTACTAGAAAAACCGGGTTTCCGGCTAAGCCCCAGCCTGAAAAAAGATCGAGAAAAAGTCCCGTCTTTATAGATAGACCTGGTTCAGCCTTGTTTTAATATATTAAACTAGATATTATAATTATTTATATTAATATCATTAATTATATACGCATTTAATTATATATATTTTTTTTATTTCCAATACTCTTAACAGAATAATTTCATGTCCTTTGTTCTTTTTAATGTTTTACATTTGTGATAAGCATATTTTTGAACAAACAAAACAAAAAAAATCCAACCCACCCATTATTCATTAATTTTATTTAAAAAAAAAAAAATGTTAATTTCAAGCATGTATTTAGTTTAGTATCAATTAATAAAATGTAGAGAAAATCCAAAACCCATAAAAATGTATTTTATTCATAAAGAGCAGAGCAAACGAATATCATAGACGTGCATGTATTTAATAGTTGGTCACAGATTTTTTTTTTTTTATTTGATGTATTGCTGCATTCATGGCCTGAATTTGATCAGCAAACCATTGTGTAGGGGTGATAAGGAGACCAGGTTGTTTAAATAGCACTTTATACTCAGCAACATTTTAAGGTCAATTTTCATCTTGATCATAATCCCTAGAATTTGTATGGCGGCTAAAAATATGTGAGTTTACTCCCCTGACAAGTACACTCTGGTGGAATGGTCATTTGTATCAGTCATCCGACTTTACGTCATGCTTCATCCCAGGCGGGGTCGTGAGGGTTGCTGGTGCCTATCTAGAGGTGGGGTCCACCCTGGACAGGTTACCAGTCCATCGCAGGGCAACAGAGAGAGAGAGAAAAAAAAAACATTCACAAACACTCACACCTAAGGAGAATTTAGAGAAGCCAATTAAGCTAACAGTCATGTTTTTGGACTGAGGGAGGAAGCTGGAGAGAACCCACACATGCATAGAGAAACAGGTTAACTCCATGCAGAAAGTACCCCGGCCGGAAATCGAACCTGAAACCTTCTAGCTGCAAAGCAGCAGTGCTACCCTCTGCCCTACTAACCAGCCCAACATGTGGGACAATTGATGGAATTATCCATGAAGTGCTGACACTTTTTGTTAGACGTCTGCTTTAAGCAAAATTGATAATCTGTAAGAAAAAAGGACTTCAGAGAAGTGTGCTGCAGAAATGATTTAGGCACAAAAATATAAAGCAAACCAAGACAAAACTCTTCTGCAAATTATTTATAACTGCAAAACATGTAAAACCATTTTCATAAATACAAGCTTTTGACAAAGAATTATCTAAAAAAGTTCATTTTCTATCACACAAAGAAAACTTTTTTTTTGTTAAAAAAGACGTGAAATAAAGGAACGCAATGGCATTTTATAAATTTGCATATATCAAAATATTAAAATGGTATTAACAATTTCTTAAAATAAAATAAATGAACTGCTTTACATGGACAAACTTGCATTGTTAAACAATTGCACACCACAACATATTGTGCATAAAGATGACCAAAATAAAAAGATAAATCAGGTTTTGTCAAGAGCAGCAAACCATTTTGTTCCTTGTATAAATTAGTGTCTTTGGAACCTGAGTCAGAAAATTAATGCCATATCTTAATAATTCTGAAAAAGATCATTTGTAAGTATTTTAAACCCACCCACTGAAAGGAAAAATGACACAAAAGAGGCTCCTAAAATTGTTTTTTTTCCCCCTCTGCATTCATTCCAGTTTTGCTCTTTGATAGCTGTGGGCTGTTTTTTGTTAGACAAAGTAAAAAGGAGCCCCTCTATTGAATAAAAACAGAAAAAAAAACATAACACCAATGATTAAATGCAATCTTCTGTTCTCAGACTCTCAGCCATCTCTTTCTTTCACACACCAACAAAACTGTACAAAACATGAACTTTATAATAAATTCAGACTTCACCCGTGCTTATCACAATGCCACAGATGAGCACAGATTGTGCTGCAGCGTGAGCAAACCCAGGCACAACTGAACAGGTAGGGTACTCCAGCACTGCTTACTTTTACATCTGTTCTCTTTTGTAAACTGGTTTTTATTTTTCCCGTTTCAGGCTTGGTGTTGTGGAGCAAAATCCTGGTTTACTGAATAAAGTATAGCTAATGGTGGTAACGTAACACTGATCAGGTGGGTTTTCTTACTCGTACAGATTAACCAGCACTTTTTAGCTTCCTGACAGTACATTAGAAATGCTAGGCATTTTTAGTTTGTTTTTGAAGTTGCGTGATTTGACCTTAACCACAACTTTTCAAATCTAAGCACTAAATGACCCTGTAAGGCTCTTTTTTTTAAATCCACGCCTGCAGAAATATGACAAAATGACTCCGATTACTACAGGCTGGTGAAATAGAAGCAGGATGAGTTCATTTGTGTTGATAGAGGAAGTGGTCCAGTAGTGCTGAGAAGTCCGAGTTACTGAGCAATCAGTGCTGCTAGTGCCGTCACCTCAACTCACACACAACACTTGCTATGAGTCTTTGAGCATGTTGATGCGTGCAAATATCTTAAGTGCAGGTCCCAGTTTAATGTTCATAGTGCTCATTAGGTGGTCCTCTTTCAACAGGAGCAATGCCTGTCCGTCGATCTCCTGAGAGCGAAACTCGTCAGCAATCTCTTGACAACCTGAGCAAACAGAAAGGAATTGCGTTAAAAAACAAGATTCGTGGATGCACAGCTTTGGGAATCAGCCCGTTTATAAACACTACCAACCTGGGAGAGAACAGATGAACTCATAAACCTCTTCTACGTTCCACTTGGTGGGGTCATTGGGCATGAAGCGATCGCCGATTGAGGGTACATCTCTTGCGCCACAGCTCTCTTGCTCTGAGGACTTGCTTGCTTGTCGATGGACGGGGACCTGGGCTGAGGTCGGAGCGGGAGCGCGGGGTCCTGAGCTGGCTGCTGACATGGGAGATGGTGGCTCTTCATAGCTGGACATGTCTGAACACGGGCTGGACTCCTCCTGACTGGGCTGAGAGGCATGTGGCGAGGATATAGAGCCTCCCTGAGGCTGCTGAGGTGACAGGGACATTTTCTGAGAAGGAAACAGAAAAAATCATATTGAGACTTTAACTGATGAAGGCCACTGGGGAAAAAAATGATTTAATTCTTACAACTGTTTCAATAAGTTATCAAACAACTTTTGGAGGTTTCTGAATCAAATGGTGCAGCCATTCAGTTCTAATGACATGAGGCATAAGCATGTCATACACCGAATGTGAAAGATGAATTAATGGAAAGGATATACAACAAGTTATGCAAAGTCAAAATTCTTTGGAAGGTTCTGAACTCTTGTTATATTGTCACAGAATTTCAGCAATACTAAACCACTGCCTCTAGATTGACTTACAGTGTTTTATGCTCCCTATATAAGATGTGCAGCAGGCAGAAAATCCCAAGTAATTATTCAGGCTGCTCACCAATAAAGGTTGCCTTAGATCATAGAGCAGTCAATGATCCATATAGAGCGAGGGAATCAGGGCCACAGTTAGTCCAGGTTCATCAGCTTAACCAAGGAGTAAAAAGTATAAGAAATAACACCAAACAAACTTCTGAGCATCTTTACCTGCTTCTTTGCTTCTATACTGGAACGTCCATGAGACCTTTTACGCCACCGACTTGATTTATTCTTCTCAGGACGAAAAAGTCCAACCCGTTTTGTACAGCCCACGTTGTACCTGTTAAAAAACAAAGTCTCCAGTTAAATCTAGTTTTTATAGAATCTACATTACACTTTTCCTCTCAGCTTGATTATACATAGGGCCATTAGCTATATGTTTTTAAATTTGCTAATTGGCAGATTTTTTTTAAATGTATTTTACATACATTGCCTTAATATACATTTTCTTTAGCAAATTCCATGACCTTTTACTATATTTAGCTGGAATCATGGCCCTTTTCTCCTAGCAGAAAAGTCCATTTAGATCCTTTTGTTCTGTTATTTACACATGTTCTTTAAATGCAACAATCAGCTGTAAATCCTTGACACAGAAGGAGGGGGCTAAAATTATCTCACCTATATTTTGCCCCTAAAACCTTTAGGACAGATTCCAAAAACGTTATCCACTATGAAGCCTGTAAATGCTTTCCAGGCACTGGAGGAGAGCCTGAAACTAACCGTATTGGCGATATGTGTGGGGGTCATGGGATCACAGATTGCATGAATAATTGAAGTCTAAATGTAACTTTTCAAAATCCAATACCAAAAACGGCCAGAAGATGGCAAAAGAGCATCTATATCTATTGTGAATGAGAGGTCGTGTTCAGTTAGGAAAGCACAAACCCTTATTTCCAACTCGCATACACGATCAGTTATTGACGCATGTAAATCAGCTGTTGCCGTAGCTCCTTGCAAACGTGAACAGCACCCGACCCCTTCTTCTTCTGTTTCGCCAATACGGTTAGTTTCAGAGCGCTCCTTCGCTACCATTAGCTGAGAAACGCAAGAGGGATTTCGCATGTCTTTTTAAAATTTATTTACCGCCAATTTATTTGAATGATTTTTATTTATTTTTTTAACCCACGGGCGATCGCTACGGGGCCGGAATACGGTAATCCCTGCTAACCGTATTGCATGTTAAGTTCAAATAATTAATAAAAGAAATCTTAATTTTATTTAGATCTAATGTCAGAATGGTTTTGATACAGTGGTCAGTAAATGCTTTGGTCAGTAAATCCATACATAAAGGAAGGAATTTAAACACTTAATCAACTTACCTTTTTGCACAAACCACAGAGCAGAACCTCTTCGATCCCTTGAAGGTGTACGCAAAGTCCACGCAGCCGCAGTACTCACAGGTCAGCTTGGGTTCTTCTTTTTCTGTGCGGAAAGACAAAACAAACATTAGACACTAAAACTAGAGGTTGATTTTTGCAAAGGAGAGACTTAGTTGAAGGAAAGTGATTCCAAAATGTGAACATCAAACACTCAAAATAGAGCATACAAATAAAACATGTGTTCATGAAGTAAATATTTATAAAAAGTATTGTTCACATTAAATTTTCCTGATCTGATCTATGCAGCTGATGCTTGGTTCCAGTATGTGGAACACAGCACATGGAAAATGGATCTACAGTTTAAAAATGATTAGCCTCTCTTGTACAAAGATATGAGATACTTCTTCTGCATTCTCCTTGGTTTACATGATCAAACCTTTCAACAGAATTCAGCAGGGCCATCATAGAAATCAGGTAAAGTATCCTGTGCAGAGAGGAAGCCATGTTATTTAGCAGGTTGTTGTAGACTGGCTGGGAGCCAGGTGCAGGGTAATTGGTTTGGTGAATAGATGCATAAAATTAGGAAGCTAGAAGAGCCCATTTTCTATTTATGATACAGCAGGTGAAGAGAGCTGTCACCGTTGTGAGCATGATTTCACAAATTTTACGCCTTTCTTGAAGATGGATCCAGGAAATATGGGAACAGAGAGGGGGATAATCCACTGCTGTAACAGGATGAACCTGCACGAATAAAAGTAGACAAACTGTTCAGCTTTAATCTGTTTGGTCTCACCTGGTTGGTTCATGTCCTCAGGCTCGGAGTCGCTGTTCGCTGCATTGCTGAGGGGAGTTTTGTCTGGGTCTGAGGACAGCTGATGATCCAGTTTCTTTGGGCTATCGATGAGAATCGGCAGACGCTCCACCTAGAGTCAGAATTAAAACATTAACCAAAGAGAACAACAAAAAGAAGAAATAAAGCTCAGAACCTGTGATCAGTAAGAATTAGGAATGCACTGAAAATTCGGCCAAAAAAGACCCAAAGATGCATTTTTGGTTTTTGAAATTTTACCCCAAAACAACATGGCAGAAACTTGTGATGACGAGGCGAAGGGATAAGAGCCACATGCCTACAGGTTGGACTTATTTCACCATCTCTGAGAAAGACCCATGGATGGTGATTTGCCAAACATGCCATGGTGATGTTTTAGAAAAGGTAAGAGGTTTCCCGGTGAATATGCAAAATCAAAAGGCATAACATAAAAATTAATATTTTGATGCTTTTGTAACTGATTTTTTGTCATGATTTGGATTTAGTGAGGTAAGTACACAACGGAGCCAAAAATGCCATGGTTCTAATAATTGACAAAATTTCTTTCAGTGTTTCAGTTCTCTCCTTTTAGTTTTTGGATTCGGCCAAGAATTTTCCATGCATCCCTAGTTAAAATGTAAAATACATGCTTCTCCAATATATAATCATAAGGAGAGCTTTTCTCAGTTTATCATTTAAAATAGTAAAATGCTTCTTAATCATACCCTCCAAGCCTTTTTTTTTTCAGGTAATTTGAATTATTGTGCTGTAAAAACCCACATTTCTTCTTTTTTTGTCCTTGCCTTGTTGATTGTAGGTTCAATTGCTTCTACTGGTTTTACACTTATGTTTGCATAATTTCAAACTTCCAGTATTATTATGGTCTCATGAAGCTGCAGAGGGTGCTGAGCCTCCGTCATTGCTGCATGGCGACCAAAAGCAGTGTGACAGTTTATGAAAAAGTGAAAGGGTCCTTGTGTATTGATTTTAAAATTAAGTATAATGGCATGCTTTTTTTTTTAAGCGTTATATCAAAGTTTTCATTATTTTCACAGCCCTAAATTAGACACAGGTGGTCTAGTTATTGATATATACGTTTACGTTCTTAGCAGAGCCACAGTCTGATCTTCTCCATGCCTCATTGCATTGATGCTGTAGCCATTCCAAAAGGAGTTATGATCAAGTATTGATTGACCTTTGGTATTACACAGCACGTCGACATGGAATTCAGCAGAGCAAGATATCTTATAAGTCAGAAACAATTAACTGGATTTAGGGTCATTAATCAAAATAATCGTCTACTAATTTAGTGAATCGTTAATATAGAGACTCTAAAATATTCCTTAATCTGACAGAGCAAACCACTTAGAGCAGTAATTATACCAAAATTGTAAGTAAATAGTATATGAAATGTATAAAAAGATTTTTTTCATCTGGTGATATGTTCTATCCAAAATTCCTCAAGTGGAAAAAAAAAAAAGTTAGTTTCATCTAGTTTAATTCTGTAAAAAAAATCTTTAAGGAATCTTATGCCATCTGACTATTATAATCGATTGATCAAAAATTAATCGACAGATTAATCGATTATTTAAGTAATTGTTAGTTGCAGCCCTAAAGGTTTTCATAACCTTTAAAAGTAAAAGAAAACAAATGCATAAAGTTTAACCTTGTTTGTGATTAATGTGAATTATTTAAAAGTTACTTTAAATTAATTACTTAAAATACAGGAATCTGCTGTCATCTTAACAGCAAAAACAGTGAATTCTGTCCTAATGCTCAAAGCAGCTTGTCTCTGGCAGATTTTTTATTACTGTAAAAGCTGAGTGTTTAACCACTAACATTTTCTTTAAGTCTTTTAATAAAAAAAATAAAATAAAATAAAAGCTCCATTTAACCCCCAAGTATCTAAATAACGGAGGCATTTACACCAACCGTCCAGAAGGAGGCAGACCAGGAGAGATTTTGAATTTGCAGTTTTTCCACTTTTGAATTAAAATTATTTGATTTTTGGAATAATTTCAGAATTACAGATGAAATTGTAAATTAAAGAGAGAAACATAACTTTAAGGTATGTGAGGCAATAAGGGGTAGAATTTTTAGATCATTAGTAAAATGTGCAATTATTTAAAACTTTATACCAGCATCCATCTGTATTCTGCCACCAACACAGACCCACAGCTCGCTGTAATTAAAGACTGATTCAAGCAGCCACTGTGAGCAGTCACTACAAGCATCGGCAGAGCGTTTGTGTCTGCCTGCTGACAGCTCCCTCCGGGCATGTACACTGGAGAGCATGCTGGCTCTTGGTTGTTTACCGCGTTTTTCTGCCAGTAAATCAGAGGTCGGGGGCACTTACACACACAGGAAATGGCTCCGCTCCCTCCTGGATGACGAAGCCTTCGATGACATGTGTGAGGACCTGGGGTTTGACGATGGCCTGGGGCAGTTTGTTCTCTCCATTTTGCGGCGCGCTGCCCGTTACGGTGGGCGCTTCGCTCTCATTTCCAGAGGTCATAGCTGGAGGTGGGGTCCCATGCGTTACACTTGGCCTCTTGGCTGAGCCGCCTTCTGAGCAAGAAATTGAGACAAAAAACGCTCAGAATGAAACAGCAGAGAAATGTCTGGTTAAAGTGGGTTAGACTGCTGATAGATTGTAAGAGATTTTAAAGAGCAAGACGGCACATACAAGTTTGTTTAGTAAGATCCCAGAGGAACATGTTTGACATTTTAATTTGATTCAAAATTACTTCATCCCAAAGGGAAATTAAATATTGTTGTAACTCATATATCTTCAAGGAGATGTTATATTTGCTTATAATTGTAAACAGGTGGATCTACTGTAAAGGTTATTCTAACAGCAGCTCTGGAGAAGCCTTTGACGGAAGACACGCTGTAGTCGGACAACAATCTAAAGAATACTCAGGCATGTCTGTAAATTTCTCTAAAGACTTTTCTGTAAAATCTTGTTCCAGGAGACTCCCAATAATAATACTAGATTTATTCGCTTGTAGACATTTATTTCCATAGCCCTGATGCTGCTAATTCTTCAGCCTTAAGTGGAAGAGATCATGCCAATCACAAGAATCTTACTGGGGATATGTTCCAAACACTGAAGGACCTAAGCAGTTAATATAGGCAGCCAATCCCTCAGTCATTGCATTGATGTCTTCTTCATGTGGCTGGCACAGTGCATCTCAATCAGCAGCCTTAAAACAACCTTGCTTCTTTAGTTTCCTGTGCCCAGTTATTTATTTTAATTCTTTATTGCCTTTATAAATACAGTTTATATTCTGAGCAGAGGAAAAACAAGGTCCCACCTAATTTGCAAGGAGGTGGTCTTGGTTTGGAAATGTACCAGTCCTTGACATTTGCATAATGTAAGTCCAAAGTTTTGTTTTGACTGGCATAGCAGCTGAAAAACTGATGGACATATAGCAAAGAGTGAGATATAATAATGTACACAAGCATTGGGGTATTATGCGCATAGCTTGCCAACAACTGTGCAGATATCATCATGTGCAGTATTGGCAATAGCTTGTGATGGAATGTAAAAAGGCACTAAAATAACACTTGTGAACTTTGTGGGTAAAAAGATTGACACAACATACAATAAATAGTTCAGTATCTGGGCTGCAGGGACACAACTTTACAGAAACAAGCCCTAAATGAGACCATCCGTTTTTCTGAGAGCTGTCAATAATAATAAAAATAATAATAATAATAATAATAATTATCTCACACTGGAAAAATTTACCTCCGTATTTAACTCATCCCCTTGGGGGAGCAGTGGGCTGCCTCTGTGGGGTTAAGGGTCTTGCTGAGGGAGCCAGAGTGGCAGTCTGTGGAAGTGGGGCTTGCTTTCAAAACCTCTGGGGGCCAAGCACAATGCCCCAACCACTAGGCCACCACTCCCCTTAGCTGAATCTACCTGCTTTACTTTTACCACTCTTCTTTAAACCTGTCTGCTCACATGGTTAGTAAGCCCAGCAAGGAGAGAGATGCTGGGGTCAGGGAAATGATCCTCCAGCTTTGTTACACTCAAACAGAATATGGCAGTTCTGAAGTTCTTACTACGTCCTTATTGGGGCTTAGACTTCATCCAACTTATTTTCCCAAAGATCTCCCTTTTCCCAAACTAATAAATTGACCAGATGGCCTTAATTTCACCCTAGCCCTTTCTTTGCTCCTACTCGACATGCTGCGTACCTCTTCCTTAATTTATCTGGGATTTACAGAGATGGTTAAATATTACTTCAGCTTTTTGAGATGTTAATCAGCTGCTCCCAGATGTAAGAATTAACCGGTTGCTATGGTTGCATTGTAAAAAATGCCCCAAAGCAAAAAGGCTTCTGCAACAATCCCTCTAGCTGCAACAAAAGAAAAAGAACAGTCCAAAAGAAGCAACTTTGATCCACAGAGGGAAGTCCTTTAGTTCTTAGACAAAAACAAAAAAATATTAAAAATATATGTTCCAACTTGAGCAGCATAACTTACTCCTAAATGACAACCAAAATTCTACAAAGTTTTTTTTTTTTTAAATCAGTCATAAATATCAGAGCTCAAGTAAAACTTATAGTTTAGCTTTATTTTAGTTTTGCAAATAATTTTATTTTAATGCTTGAGATCAGCATTAAAATAAAGAACCAGAGGAGCAATTTAAAAGTTTTCATTAATTGCAAATTCATGCAATTCTATAATATGTCTGGATAAAACAAGATTAAAAAAAACACACTGGAAAAACGATCTGGAAATAAGTCAAAACGTCTTAAATTAAGTGTATTTACCCTTAATTTGAGTAGGTAAATAAGATGATCTGCCAATGGAATGAATATTTTTACTCTTAAAATAAGACATTTACGGTAGATAAAATGCACTTAAAATAAGACGATGCAATTGTGTTTTCTTATGTGAAACGGTCTTGCTCGAGTGGCAAAATGTCTCTTTTACCTCCTCAATCCAAGAACAAATGCACTTATTTTAAGAAAAAAAATGACTTCTAGATTTAGATTTTTCTTCCCATGCAGGGCTCCAGCATATGAACCTTAACGCAGCACTGGCGATATCTGCTATTCACGTGAATGACGTCATCTCGTTTCGTTTGGCAACAGTTTTTTCATGACCATCAATAGCATATGTGCATTGTGGACATTAATTATATTTAAATATATATATTAAAGCACGACCAGATCCACCTGCATAGTAATTAAAACATCGCTCCCAACGGTCCTAAATTAACTTCTAAAGGTATTAAACAGTGAGTTATGGACAAAAGGCGCCGCTATCTGCTGACATTTGCACCGCGCTGATAGAAGCTGCGATTATCGGATAAAATGCTCAGTAAGCAGAGTAAACAGCAAGCCGCCATGCTTCATCATTCCGCGTCCATTCGCTCATGAATGATAGTTTTCTTACCGCGCAACTTCCGCGCTGTTCAGCCGGAGAACATGGAGCTGTTTGGTTTGTTTGAAATTCTAATGATCAGAGCGACACAGCTGCACTCAGATTGGGGGCTGTGCTTCTTCTCACCCCCCTGAGGAAAAGTGTGTGAAAGCAGGACCCGCCCCCCCCCAGCTTTCCTCCCATAGTAGCTGCTCTATTATTCAGCTCTCACTGCAGATCAACTGGTTTTTCTTCCTTCTTTGGGAAACACCGAAATAATCAGCCTTTGGTTGCAGACTAAACAACTGGAAACACGTGTTCGCAGATATTTCTCCAATAAATGATAAAAAAATTATTTTGCAGTTTCTACCTTAGTTAAATAGCATGCTGCTGTCATTTTGCACATCTGATGTTGCTGTTTTCAAGTATCCATCATTGCACAGTATTTTTATATTGTGCAAACACTACAGTATTTAATTTGTTTTTCTTTTAACTCTTTACTAGCAATGTTATTCTTATACACTTTTCAAAGGTCCACATTTGTGGGACCATTTTTTTCCTATAATCTTTTTCCTGCTATAAACACCAAAATTTCCCAATTTTGGGACAATAAAGGCATTTTCTATTCTATAACAGTCTTTATATTCAAATACAGAGGTCTTCAACAGGGGGTCCGGGACCCCTAGGGGGTCCACTGAGGTACTGCATGGGGGTCGTGAAAGTTTTGGTTGATAAGACTTTTTTGTTTTGTTTTTTGTACCCCCCTGCAATTTTTTCCACTAATTGAAATGTCTTGAATTCATGTTACACATTAACATGAATGCAACACACTGTAGTAAACAGATAAATGGAGGCAGATGTCTTTCAGTCATCAATCCACACATTCAGTGACACACAGGAGCTCTTTCAAGCTGGGCACCGTTTCATTCTCAACACCTGTCCCATCAATCAGGAATCAGAAACAATTTATTAATCTCAGGGCAAAATTACTTTCATTACATTACTCCATCTGTAATAGAGTGACTATAGGACCAGTTTGATATAACACAATTTCTTAAAATAAATATAATTAGGGGGTCCCCGCTCCATCTCGCCATCAGTTTTGAGGTCCTTAGCCTGGAAAATGTTGAAGACCCCTGTTTAAATAGACAAGTAACTACAACTGTTGTTTAGGTATCTTTCACAATAAATAAAGGTACAAAAAAACTCTATGATTTAAATCAACCTTTAATAACCTTATGATTAAAAGAAAATCACTATTTTATGCTATTGTTAAATAAGGAAGTTAGGTCCCCCTGAAGGTGGTTACACCTCAGAACTTTCCTTCCAGTTCTTTTCCTGGGAGCAAGTTACCTAGTATAATTATTCTTAACTCAAACTGGGTAAAGTCATATAAAAAGGACTATAAAAGTAAAAAAGTAACAGAGTTTATTCCAGTTGTGGTCTTTACAGGACAGAGAAATTGCTTGGAGTCGGCACAGCTGTGGGCTCAACACGTCAGCAAACGTTGGCACCCGGCAAAAATGAGCCCCGAACAAGGTCATCTCCTGCTTCTTATACCTCATGAGTCTATGTGTTGCATCAGGTGAATGCTTAGCTGTTCGTGTCAGAAACTGACACGCCATCCATGCCCTGACCTTCGTGCCTCTTCAGGATTACAGATAGCTCTCCTCTATCAGTCCGGCTCCAGGATGTCTCCTTATCCTGTGTATCTTCCAAAGACAGGAGACTGTCCTCATTAGATGGCCTCTGTACACACGGTGTAATCCACTATGTGAAGGAAGGCCTTCTACTTCATCTAATCTAGCTAAGAGATTAATAAAACACATGATTAATAAATAAACCTAAAACTATAGTAAACAAATACTAGGAAAATGCTAGGTTGTTAATTCAAGCCATTATCCAAGAGAGCATTATTCTCTTCGCAAGAAACTTATCTTTTCACACAAGATTTAAGTAACCCAGTACTTCAAATTGGCTGCAGGATGCTATCAAATTTGACTGTGATAATACAAAGACTGTTCTCATAATCTTTGCATCACTTTTAATCTAGACTTCATCCAATTGGCTGATTTACATGGAAACAAAAAAAACATGAAACTGTATAGCATTCCAGTAATTTGTAATAATATAAATGCACAGGGATGCTGCTTAATGTAGGGCAGTGGTTCCCAAACTTTTTGTGCCCAAGGCACACCAAAGGAAGTAAAAATCTCAAGGCACACTTATTGATAAAAGAGCATTTAAAACCTGTGTCATCCATCATGTTTAGCAAAATATTTGTTATAATTATGTACTAATTCAAAATAAATTGTGACAACTATATTAATCATGAAATATTTATTAACAAAATATTCCAAAATTTAATTTGAAACTTCATCAAAATAGGCTTCATCAAAGCAGCCACACGCCTATTAAAATCCTGCTTCACAAAATTAAAAACGAAGCAAAGAAAACTCAGCAGAAATTAAGCACAAAGAACTGTCAATGCAAGGAAGCTGAAATTGAAATGTGTGCTGTTGTAAATATTTTGTCTGCTTACAAATTGGTGAGACACGTGTGCCTGTCGGTGCGCACAGATTTTTTTTAATCCTTGGTGGCACTGAGGAGAGGGCCACACGCAAGTCCTGTTCAACAGAGAGCCGTGACCTCCTGTTGATGTAAACCAGAGTAGAGAACGCCAGCTCACACAGCAAGTAGTGGGGAAAAGAAGAAGTTGCTCAATTGCGTGGCGTGAGATGTTTGTGTATTCTGATGCAGAAGCCAACCAAAACTGATCCAGTGGGTGCTCACTAAATTTGAGTTTTAATGTGCGGTCCGCACGGAGCTCTGCGCACTCCTCCCTTTCTTTCATTGTCAGTTTTTCTGTTGAAGATTCCTGGTTGAATGGGTCTCGTAATCCTCAACGTCAGCAACATGTGGAAAGTAGCGCTCAAACCTCTCTTTTAAGCTCTGAAGGTGTTCGGCATATAATGCGCGCTCCTTTGCTGCCTGCGGCGCAGCTGATGCCAGCGGGAACATGTCCATCGTGCCCTGTTCCAAAGCCTTGCGCCACAGGATGATAATTACTACCTGCGCATCTCCGTGGTCAGGGAGTTCTCCTTGAGTTTTTTTTTTTCTTTTTAGATTATTTTGATGTAGTTTGCCTCTGTTTTGTGAAAATTAATGCAAAAAAGTAGTGATATGACCGTATAGGCTTTTTATTTTGCTATTATGCTATTATTATCAGAATGACAATATTTTAAACATCCATCCATCCATCCATCCATCCATCCATCCATCTTCTTCCGCTCATCTGGGGTCAGGTTGTGAGGGGTACCAGCTTCAGTAGGGAGGACCAGACGTCCCTCTCTCCAGCCACTTAGGCCAGCTCCTCCCAAGGCGCTCCCAGGCCTGCCGTGAAACATAGCCCCTCCAGCGTGTCCTGGGTCTCCCCACGGGCCTCTTCCCGGTGGGACGTGCCTGGAACACCTCACCAGGGAGACGTCCAGGAGGCATCCTAATCAGATGCCCCAGCCACCTAAACTGGCTCCTCTCGATGTGGAGGAGCAGCGGCTCTACTCTGAGTCCTTCCTGGATGACTGAACTCCTCACCCTATCTCTAAGGGAGAGCCCAGACATACTACAGAGAAAACTCGTTTCAGCCGCTTGTATTCCCGGGATCTCATTCTTTCAGTCATGACCCAAAGCTCATGACCATAGATGACAGGTAAATCGAGAGCTTTGCTTTTTGGCTCAGCTTTCTCTTCACCACAACAGATCGGTACGCTTCACAGCAGATTCTGCACCAATCTGACGATCGATCTCCCGCTCCATCTTCCCCTCATATATTTTAAACATATTAAACTCATATCTGTCCCATGCACACCCATACTGCAATCTTTAGAAGCATGATAAAGCAGTTTTGTCAAATGCTGCAACTGTCCCAGCTCAAACACTGATTAATAAAATCACACATTTTCACATTCTTTTTAAAACCTTATTCAACTCTTAAACCGGGTCATGTTTGTTGAGTCATTGTTTTAGCAACACATACCATCACATAACAATAAACTGATATAGGCATTTTAGAAGATTAAGAGAATCCATTATAATTTTCAAACAGCAACACCCCGTAATTGGGATTAACATGAGATGGCAAGAAAACATCCAAAAATGCAAACCTGTAGAGCAGAGATGTTGGTGGAGACAAAACAAATATACCAAAAATGATTTAATAGGGGGACACCCCCATCTGTTGACCTCCGTCTAGTGGCATAATGGAAAAGAAGAAACAAAAACCAAAGGGAAAAAAAAAGGATCCCTTGCAACTTGGTTTGAGAATTTAAAGATCAATTTGCTGTTAAATAATTAGCATCCTTATATATCCAAAGATATTCTCTACTGCAGTAGTTAAGTTAAATTTTATTTCTTTCACACTTCCTCACCATGTTGATCACTTGCAACAGTGTGGTGGAACTGTCTCTTGCACCAACTACCATCTTCAAGCTAGCTACGCTAGCTTAAAACTTTAGTTTTGGCCCATTGTGCTTATGCTGGTTAGAAGCTAAGTAATTGCTGATTCAAACTTTATCACCATTAGGTTTTTCATACGGACTATGTGGACTTTTTTACCCTGAATTCCAGTTTTCCATTGCCCCATTTAAGGCCAAATTATACTTCTAATGCATAGCCTCTGCAACCGTCATATCTGTCCCACGCAGAGGTTCTGCAACCGTCATTGCACAACTCAAAAAAATCCTGACTACACGTCCGACGGTCGCAAACCCGTGCAGACCTCAAGAGGAAGTGCGCAGACAAAAAGCAGCTGTGATTGATCCTTGGTATGCCTTTCCTGCTGTCTGTGTGGTCGTCCTTCTCGGTTCTGTGCCAGGGCGCGTCATTTTTAAAAACCGAGGAGTAATAACATTAATGGATAACAACGACGAAAGGTTGATCGAGGAGGTTCGGAAGTAAAACCACTTGTACGATGCCTCAGACATGTAGTTTTAGAAAATAAACACTCCCGCCGGCGGCGCCGAAGAAGTTCTCACGAGTTCTCGAATAGGCTCCCCCTTGCGCTTTGGCGGAAAACTGCTGTGCGTCCGTAGAAATTCCAGACCGACGTCGCAGAAGCATACCAGCAAAGATGTGTTCGTGACCAGACGCAAGCGACATTTGATTTGTGCGGTTGCAGAAGTATAATTGTACATTACCCCTCTGAAACCATTCTGTACCGACTTCACACCGAGCTTGTATCAGTTAACTGTACCTTGCTTTATTCGTAAGATCATTTACACATCAAGCTAGCACGGTTCCTCGCCTCCTATCAGTGCTCCACAATACTACAGCTGTCAAGGCAGGAATTACAAAACAAAAATGGCAGCGCCCCTAACATTCAGGAACTTATGTGCCTAGTTAGCGTCCTCGCCCAAATTTAAATGAGAGCCTCGGCATCTGTATCATCCTAGGTCCATGCTCTTTTAATATCATTTACTTTTAAAATGGCAGAGAAGAAGTTTGTGTTGTAAACAGGTGAAGAGATTGGTGAATTACAAAGCCGGACACCCCGGGAAACCTGTGAAATTAGTCAGCTGACGTGGTCCGGTCATGCACTCTTTGTTAACAGAGACGATCGACAACTGAGGTAGGGGTAACCGAGTATGTGCTGAAGGATTCTCATCACTGGTTGATTCCTTGCCGGTAAATTCAACAATATTCAAACCGTCTCCACTTTCCTCTGAAACACACATCAAAGGTCCCTGCAGAAAACTAAAATAAAAACTCTGCTTGCTGTACCATTCTGCTTTCTAGCATGACTTGGCATTAGCAACCACTAGAGAGTGTTATATTGAATAATGTAAAGAGAAAAATGACAGCAGAAGCTTTATAATCATTAAAGTTGGTCTTTAAATTAAAAGCATAATTGTTGGATCTTTAAATGAAGCTCAGAGTTTAATACCAAGTTAATGTACAACCAGACAATAAGAGGCCGGGGTACTAATATCTTTTCACTTGATTGAGTAATAAAGTCAGTTCTACCGCTGGATGTAAAGGTTGATTCTAATGACAGAAACAGGCTAAACAAAGATGCTTTTCTTTTTTCTTTGTGTTTTAAATCAGATTCCAATTTATAGAAAACTCCATGTTGGCCCGAATTTATAAAAAAATATTTTTAAAATATGTTTAGTGTCTATTGTATCAACTGACCAATCTGCATCTGAATCATCTTTCTTAAAAAAAACACAAAAAACACAACACAAACACTAGTTTATTTTTTGATGTCTGATTAACTATAGTTTCTGTTGCAATTTTTTTTGTACAAGCAGCTCTTTAAATTTTTACACATACTAATCAAATAGAGTGAAAGGGGTTGAGAAAAAGAATGGATTTGGCTTTCTTACACTCATTAAAGTGTCTTGTATAAATCTTTGCCATGCCATGTAGGTCTACTTTTACTACGACCTGCAGTTTCCAAACTGCACTATGAAATTTAGAAATCTGAAATCTGGGCTCATATCATGAGAACAGCACTACTTTAAACTCTTTACATTCTAAATTATTCATTTAGATAAGTAAATTTAAAAGTAAAAACACCCAAGTCTAGTAACAAACCAACAAAACGTCCCTTTTAATCCAAGTGTAAACAAGCAGAAAAATAAAACAGCATCAACTGTAGATCAAAACCATTTTAAAGATCGAGCTTGAGAGGGATAGAAGCAGGTTAAACCTACGATATATGGCCCACAGAGTTTTAGTAAATCCTGCTAAGCCTTTACCTTGTGCTGGAACAGGTGGGGTGGCAGCGTTAACCTTTGGCTGCTCTGCAGGCTTGAAGGGCTGTGATGGAGAAGATGCAGGTCTTTGCTGCTGCTGCTGCTGCTGCTGATTCGATGGTGTCTGACACGTCTCTCTAACTACTAACGAGGTTGGCTTATCTTTAATGTCCTGAACAGGTCGTGGGGTCTAAAAGCAGAAAGATAAAAAACAAACAAAAAGGCAGACAAATATGTGAGCCTTTATATGCGAGTCTGTGCTTACCTACCAGGCATGTGGAATACTTCCATTTCAGAGTGAATTATGTGTTAAATCTTACAGTTTTGGTAATGTGCAGTCATGGTAGAAGTAAAAGCACAATTTCTTTTAGTCATTTTACAAACCAGGTCACAATGTACAATGGAGTATTAGGATCAGGCTAGAGATTTTTTGTTTATTTCATTTCCAGAATAAAGTCGTCTTATTACCAGAATTAAGTCGCAACACTAGGAGAATAGTCATAAAATTACGAGAACAAAGTCATCAAGGAGAATAGTCATAAATTACAAGAATAAAGTTGTAAAATTACGAGAATAAAGTCGCAACGAGAATAGTCATAAAATTATGAGAATAAATTAATAAAATGAGAATGAAGTAATACAATTATGAGAATAATGTAATAAAATTACAGGAATAAAGTCGTAAAACTTTGAGAATAAAGTCACAACACTAGGAGAATGAAGTCATAAAATTACGAGAACAAAGTCAAAACGAGCCTATTCAAAAAATTACAAGAAGTTATAAAATTACGAGAATAAAGTTGCAGCGACAATAGTCATAAAATTATGAGAATAAAGTGATAAAATTACGAGAATTACAAGAACAAAGTCACAACGAGAAAAAAGTCAAAACGAGAATAGTCGAGAATATAAATTACGAGAATAAAGTAGGAATATTAAGAGAATAAAGTGCTAAAATTGCAAGAATAAAGTTGTATTTTACGACAACTCTTACAAGAAGCACTGTCTTCCCTAAAATGAGGAATGTCAAGCATTATGTGAAGTTATACTTTGGCTTTGGTTTCACAAACAAGGAAATCATACTGGGCAGTATGTCAAAGCGGACTCAGGCTGCTGTTTGGTGGTGCTGGTTGTCAGTCATATGCTGGTCAGAGCTTGAAGCTTTCTTTCTGAAAGGGGTTGTGGTACGATGACTTCATTCCTGTAATATTACGACTTTATTCTCGTAATGTTATGACTTTATTCTCGTAAAATTACAACTTAATTCTAGTAAAATAAACAACTTTATTCTCAAAATAAAATAAATCTCTAGCCTAGCCCTAATACTCCGTCAAAACAAGGTATTATTCCATTTTGAGACTGGATTATCTCATTAAGATGTACAAAAATAACCAAAAGATTTCACTGTATTTGCAGATTGGCTTCTAACCGTTGGCTGTATTTGCAGGTTGATCGCTGTGAGTTGGACTGGCTGAGCCTTGGCTTGGTTAAGTGAGGAGTGAAGAGCATGAGGGCTGAGGGTGGAGTGGAAGATGGTGGCCTGCTGGCTGGGAGTGGAGGGCTGCTGAGGCGCAGGCTTGGGTAGAACAGGCACAGGGGCCTGTGATGCCTGAATGGAGGAAGTCTGCAGCAGCTGGCCTGTTGTCCTTTGGGAACCTTGGCTCTGCTGGACTACGAACTGCTGCTGCTGTTTGTGCTGCTGAACCAGAGGATGAGCCTGAATCTGGGTGTAAGCTGAAAGAGAGAGTAACACTGACTCAGGCACTTCTGTTCTATCTCAGACATTTTCATTTAAAGTTAAACTTTTTGTTTTTTCGCCTCACCAGATTTGACCAGTACAAATGGCATATATCCGTTTCTTAAAGAAAATAAATGAGTCACTTGTAAAAAAAGTGGGTTTAAAGCATCTAAACAAAGACAGTCTACCCTTCATCTTCAGGGCATTATCTACCATTTCTGATGAGCTGCGAAGCCATTACAGCGGAGGAAAAAATGAGGAGGAAGCGGAAAGTGAGTTGCGGCGCACTGCCTCAGGCAAAAACAATCCAAAACATACAGGTTTGTACAAACAATCTCATTTTCTAGAGCTGCCCCTCACCTTGATGCTTCTCTGTTGACAGAATGTAATATTAAGAGCTTGTTGAAAGGTGCACCGACAAATCCAGTGTTAGGTTTTGACCTGACTATTACCCACAAATTGTCTCCAAACGGCCTGTCAGCACCTGTCAGTGCAGTGCAGGTGAAACGACATCCTGAGCCCTGAAGCCAGAGACACAGGGCATCAATCTTATATCATGGCAACATGTGAAAATGGGATAGTGCTCTGCGGAAGTCGCCCGAGGCGGCTCTAATATTAGAAAGGCCTCAAGAAGAAAAGCGCTAAGCCAACTGTCCGTGACACCTTCATAGAGTCTGCAGCACCCCCCCACCCACCTCCTCTCCCTCCACTTTAATGTCTAACAAATCCCCCGGGAAACATTAAACCTAGTAACCCTGTTGTTACTACTAAACCCAATCAAGAAATGACTTACTGCTCCAAAGCACTACTCAGCTGCTTGCGCAGTACAACCTGTGTGAACACTGAGGTGTGTCGCCTCATGTTAATGAACCTCACAATAAATCTTAGAGTGGAAAATTGCCAAGTTAATCAGCGATTGTCCCCGATCCCCCGCCTGCCACCCTCCTCTCTGTTCTTTTCATATTGCTTTGTGTGGGATCGGCTCCATCTGGTTTCAAAGTGCCCCAGTGAGGCATTAACCACAGTCTGTATCCTGCTGTGGAAAATGTAGAAGCTCTTTTTTGTTTGTTTTATCCAGTAGAGTTTGCATGTCTATAGGGGTTTTATTGCAACCCAGTTTGCTGGAAAAAGTTTTATTTCTTTTAAATGATGGGACAGAGCAACCTGCCAACATTAAATGTGGTAAACACAGAGAACCTAAAATTATTTTCTACGATGAGTTACAGAAATCTGACTGAGCTATGCATGGGTGGATACGGATACTTTATTGTAAATTAAAAAGATGGGATCCTAAATATGAAAAGCAATGTAAACTGTAAGGAACATCAATCATTTGAACAACAGAGACGAAGGAAAGACCGGACATAATGTAGGCATTTTCGTTCGTTAGAAAATATTTTATGGGCACAAATAAATGAGCAGATTTATTCCAGAGATTTAAAGTCTCCGTGATAAAGTGCATTGCATCTCGGTTGTGAGGTTATTCTAGACTAGACCTCCCTCTGCAATAACAGCTTTAAATCTTTTGAGTTATATCCCTACAAACTTTGCACATTTAGACTCAACTTTCTTGGGATTTGTTTTACACAAAACAATGCCCAAAGTTATACCTTGTTAAAACTCTAATGCAAAAAATTTAAATCTAAATAAGTAACTTTTTCTTAAAATAAGTGCATTTGCTCTTAAATTGAGGTGAGACACGTTGCCAATGGTCAAAGACAATTTACTTTTAATATAAGAAAAAAAACAATTGTATTGTCTTATTTCAAGTGCACATTATCTAATTATCTTATTTCAAGAGTAAAAAAAACCCAATTCCTTTGTCAAATGAACTTATTTATTCTTACTTCAACATAAGAGTAGATTTATTTTATTTAAGAAGTTCTGACTTATTTCTAGATCATTTCTGCAGTGTAGCACAAATCTGTAGTCGTCTTATAGGTCTGCACATTGACTGGGCCATTAAAACAGCTATGTTTTGATCTGAACCAGGAGTGTCTTAAGTCCGTCCTCAAGAGCCAATAGCCAACAGGCTTGATTTTTACCCATGTAAGCGCAACTGATTACCATTTATGGCTGATTAACAGGTTTTTACTCAACCGTTACCTTCTTAACCAGGTGTGTTAAAGAAGACAAACATCTGAAACCTGCAGGGCATCGTCCCTCTAGACTAGACTTGGACAAACCTCATCTAACCATTCCATTAAAATGCTTGCAGAACCTCTACACAGTCTTTTTCAGCCACCAACATGTTTTCTTCCAGCATTTTCAAGCATTTAACAGAATCAACCTTCAAATCAGTGCAAGCTTCTCAGTCTTCCACATATTATGTATAATGCCAATAGTCCAAGTGGGCCAAGCTCAGCCAAATGGAACGCAACTTTGGATTTCTCCCTTCATTCTACTTAACCTCTTAATATCCACCTAATTTCTGGGAAATTCGCCTATTTTGCATACCCAAATAGAAAAGCAAATAACTGAGGAACTTTAAGCGCGAATTACATGTGTGATACGTTAATTGAAAGCTAACACCTTCTGGTTTCTGAATATATACATGCAAATTGGGTGAGTAAAACACCCAAGCTGCATCAGTTCAAACATGACTCAAAGTTGTTTTTTTATTCTTCAAAATAATAAGTCTATTTTTGTACAGCAGTAATAAAGACATGCTTGCTTGTTGTGGCTGTTTTGTCATGCTACATTTCGACATGCTGTTATAATTGTGCTTTGGTGCTCACTATGTCCGTAAAATGAACTAGGTGGCTGAATACTGGAGAATCTACTGATGTCAAAATGTCTATATTGGTAAACATTTTGCGAGTGTAATGTTCATGCATTCTGAGTTATTATTTGTAAACGCTTTAAAACGGTGGGTTTTGAGAGGTTAAGCCAAAGCTATGAAGTGGAAGCTAGTAGTTTCCAGAAAGGCCTCTTAGTTGCTTCTTTGATAAATAACCTCCTTGCTGATCCTGTGAATTTAGACGAAGTGCTACATACTGGTAGGTTTGTAGCCGTGCAATATCCATTTGATTTTCAGATGATAGATCAAGCATATTTCTGACCTGTCTGCCGTCTTCCTTAGTCTTCGATTGTGCGATTTTGTTTATTGTTTTCAAATAAACCTCTGAGAACTTTGCAGAACAGCAGGTGAATGCTTGCACTGTATTTTCAGGGGGATATAAGGACAGAGGGAGCTGAATACATTGCCCCATTTACACTACCCTTGAAAAACCGGTCCATGCCGAGACCGGACCGAGCTCGGATCAGTTAACCAGGCTGAGCTTGGTTCTGACGACCGTTTACACATCATGCTATCTCGGTTCCTCGCCTCCTAGTGACGATCTGCGGTATTACTGTCAGTATTGAAGGAGGAAATCAAGCAATTGGTGGCGGTAATGCACCAAAAGTTGTTTGCCAACCGCCATAAAACACAAGAAGAAGAAGACGAAGGAGGAGGGAATCAAGCAAATCAAAATGTTGCGTGGAGAAGATTTCGATTGTTGTTTATAGTTGTTCTTCTTCTGTTTTGTGTTGGTTAGCAAGCAACTTCCGGAGGGGCATTACCGCCAACTACTGGAATGGAGTGTGAATCAGGATGTGCAGCCAGATGGAGATGACAGGTTCTGCTCATGCGCTCTTGTTATCAGAGAACCGAGCCAGGGAAAAATCGAGCCGAGCCCACCTATGGAACTGCTCTGCAGTTAGCGCGGTCCGGTTGTGTCTAGCTCGTTTCAGTTCAGTTTGCTTTCCATTTACACACGATAAGTTATCTCAGTTACTGAGCTCGGACCAGTCTCGGCACGTTTTTGTAAAGTTGAAGTCTGTAAGTTTTAAAAAATCACTTTTTTGTCATATTGGCTAAAACTGTCCCTATGCCCAGACAGCAGTACATGTGATAAGTAACCTGTGAAAAAAACTGCTTCAATTGGTCCCGCCTACTGCCTGTATTGCAATCTGGAAAGAATAATTCGGGACGAGACAAAACAACCAATCACAGCCAGAGGAGCATCTGATGGAGTGTCAATCACAGCTCACACACGCTGAATCCCGTCCCCTCCATCTCACCGCTGAACCTGTCGCTGCCGCCCGGCTGCCGCAGTCAGGAGGACGCGCGTGGAAGTCATGGCTGAGCGAAAGCCACCAGCGAAAGAGAAACTGCCCTTACTGCCCCTGCCGACAACTGCTTACACGGCAAAGACTTCAAAAAAGAAGATGTCAATGGAAGAGCTGCCGTGTACGCTGCTTGGACGCTTCTGGTCGCATGCGGTAGCCGCGCAGATGCTGTGAGAGGGGTGGAGCTTGGAGGTAGGGCATGAGTAAAGCAGAGAGGGTGGGGGAGTGGCGTGAAACCTGTTTTTCTTCAAATTTTCAGTCGAAGTCTGCTCTCTTCTCAATGTAACAGACTGCAGCTTTTGTCTCAGCCTCTGTCCAATTTATTTTTACGAGCTGCTTCCAGTCTTTTGTATGTCGTGTCCTTGATGTGGATCATACAAGTGCAAATAACACCATGTCCATGGCATAGGGTTAAACGACAAGTGGCTGCTACACTTTGGTCAAAACAGTGCAAGAACAGTCCTGAAATCAAACAGACACCAAACATCTCATTAAATTCTCAGTCACTGTGAGAAAAGGGCAGGATTTCTGAATCAGTACCTGGTGGATGTAATCTGCCCTCCCAATAAATTCTGACAACTCTCTAAAACCTCTAATGAGGAACAGCAGAAGCATCTCAGAGGAGAAGAGAGTCAAGAAACAGATGTAAAAGCCATCTTCCCTTGAAAACTTTGGGATGAATGTCTGTAATGATGCCGCCCTCTTCCACACGCCAACGCACATGCAAATCATACAATCTGCATTACGGCACACTGAGCCCAACTCCCCCAAAGGAATATTTCATTAGACCTACAACTGTGAATAGTTGCGCAATGTCCGGAAACTGAGGACAGTATACATTCCTTTCAGTGTTTGTAGCACTGCAGGCCCTGGAAAATCCCTG